AATATAAGATACGACGAATTTAGAGCCGAAACAACGGACCACACTGAACCAAGAACAGTAGGAGCACGTCAGATCCGGACTTCACTTCACGAGCAGCAGTAAACGAACCGCGTACGACTGCACACAATCGACGACTGTCAGTCGATGTGAAGCCCAAAATCTCATAAACCGGGTAGCTGTAAAAAGCTCGTCACCAGCTGGCTGTCGAATTTACATCAGAACATCTAGTAACTGTAGCCACAGGTAAGAAAAATAAGAAAATTCGGTCAAAATGCTCTCACATCTTCATCAACTTTAAAAAGAACGCGCAATACAATAGTAAAGACAAAAGATGGCCTTGACGACGTTGAAAATAAGGATGCATAGGATAATTTTCGAAGACACACTTGATGACAGAGCTTTACACTTAGAATGGGTTACATGTCTGTCCCTGAAACCGGGTTAGCTACCCCATCTCACGGTGTTTAATTGGCATATTCATGTTTACTTAGATTTCCTGCTTGCCATTAGTTCTGAATGTCGCCCGTACATACAGAAATTTTTTTTATCAGCTCTAGATGTACTGCACTGAAATACAAAACACACAGGTAAGGGGTCTTTCTCAACAGTGGATAAGTATCGATTTGGCTGTGGTTGATTTTTATCCCCGCCTCCAAGCAGTCAAAAGAGATGATCAAGGGCGCATCGAGGTGATCGTTATCAAGACAACATTGAAAGTTTTCCCACACTATTAGTCGAAAACAGCTACTCTAAACATGATATACCGATCGTATACAACTAATCGGTTTACAATGTAAAAGTGATTTGGTTCCTGTGTTAGTCACATGTCCGTCAACTGCTAACAGCGCAAAACTCGGCAATTTATTTATACACAGAACAAAAACTGTGATCAATCAGATGACTGACTAGTGCCGACGATTCTGCAAGTGCCTCACTGACTTTCTTCAAGACAGAGAGGTTGGAGAGCTTCAGAAGTCCTTCTATCGTTCGTAGCGGTTCATACGTTCAAGTCTAGGAGACAAGCATTAAGTTCTAGCTGTCTTTAGAAGCTTCCTAATGACAGGGGCGAAAAGGCACATCAAATTCTTATAAAGTTCTGATCTATTGTCATGAATGACGTTGTCGCCGGACTAAATGATTAATGTCTCCATAAAGGTCGATAAAGGTCAATCACCTGATTGTTTGAATTGCGCATAAAGAAAATGTGTTTTATTCTGCCGTTTCCACCCAGTAATGATGATGATGATCATCATCTTCCATGACCGTTTACCCTTTCAGGTAGCGGAGGCAGACGCTAAAAGATGTGCCAGAGTTTGAGCTTCAGCAGAAGACAAATGGAGTCTGGAACAAACTTCTTCCATATCTTTGCACCAGGTTAATTCTAGCCACCGGGTCGGTTTGGCAAGAAACAGTCGCTTAACATTCCTTTCTGGAAGCATTCGCAACACATTCCAGTAATGATTAAAGGATACACATACACAATAAACTAGCAATGCGGCAATAAAGCACACACTGCACTGACAAAATTAAAATACTATTATATTAGAGTGTAGTTCCACTAAACCTATGAAAAACACGGTGATAAGTAATAAGTGATGGTGTTGTGGAAAGAGGACGGCTTCGGCGGTCGTGAATATTTTTTCCTTCATAGCAAATTATTCCTGAACAATTCTCCTCAAGTTTCCTCCGTACAATCAGCAAAAAAACTGGTAGGAATTCCTTGACTTGCGAACAACATGGTATTGTGGAGTCGTCACACAAGAATGGGTAAGGGATACGCCGTACTCTCTTGAGGGTAGAGTGGTACAGCTGACTTTGAACTCTGCAATGCCTGATTCGAATCCGCTGACGAGGTATTTTGTCGTTAACGCAAATTCTCTTGAGCACTAAGGTGACGAAGACACGGAAAGACCATTGTCCACCAGAGGAAAGAAAGCGACCACGACGACACGGTCAGCTGGTATGGAACAATATTCAACTAAACATTATGCCGGTCAGTAGTTCAGGAGAAGTCTCCTAATCACACAACTAAGGAGACAGCATATAATGGACATCCACGCTAAAGAATTGTAACTATCCGTCACACCAATACACCTGTGCTACCTAATACACGTGCTTAATGACGATGGTATTCATACGGATAATGATACTAATAATTATTAGGATATGAGCACGATATCAGCAGCCATGGAATAGGCTCAAAAGACATGTAGTTGGGAAAATTCGTTGCTGAACGTAACTGGACACTACTAAAGCCACCTGCAGTCTGCGGTTAACATTCTGATTCTTTCAAAGACACCATAATAACCACAAAGAAGAATCCTAGAGCTGAACGATGGCAATGGCTATTAAAATACACTTGAAGAATACTCTGGTCATGTTCAACAAATACGTGACCCCGCAACCTACTAAAATTGACTGATTATGGCTTGAAAAGTGCACAACTGAGCCTATCTTGGCCAGCTCATCCCCTGCAACGGAGATCCGACTATGTGAAATCGACAGAAGAATGAAAATGACATAGAGCAATTTTGGAAGATTGAAAATTTCTTATCCGAAAAACTTCGCTTGAGCATGAAACACCCTGTGTTTTCAGTGCTGAACTGTTGGTTCGAAACTTTTACCCTAAGTCCGAAAGCTATTCACAAAATGCAGGCTATGCAACGCAGCATGGAAAGATGTATGCTGGACAATATATGACGACTGAATTGGTAAGAGCATAAACAAAAGTCTGGGATGTTACCGAACGAATAAGCAATGGGTAAGACACCGTTGCAAAACTCCGGCCGTGGCTGGGTCAGAGAAAAGTGTGACTGAATTGCAAGA